TTTATTTTGTAAAAAAATACATAAAAAAATTACATGTTAAACGGTATATTAATACAAATTAAAAATATAAATAATATGTACATATATAATATGCTTGCAATTAATATCACAAAATAATATATGTAATATTTACATAGATATTGCATTATTAAATATATAATTTAAAATTAATAATATACTATAAAAATTATTTAAGTTGTATATATTGCAAACAAATATATTAGAACAAGTAGTCATTGTTATATTTAATAAGACTCCTTGCTTTTTCATTAAGAGATTCAATTTTTTTCATTATTATTTTTGTGATTTATGGTCCCTTAAAAAAAATTTAAAAAAAAAAAGAAAAAAAAGTGGTTGAACCGGTTTGACCCACCGGTTCACCGGTTGAACCGGAAAATTGACCGGTTCAATCCGGTTTGAAACGGGTCGACTGCATAACCGATCCAACTTCAGATTCGGACCGGCCGGTCCGGGTTTTAAAACACTGAGTATGATAGTTATGTTATTGATGTTTTTGTTTTAGGTTTTCTTTCCTCTTAATGGTTTGACATTTGGGTTGTTTTTTTTTTCATTGAGTTTTCACTTGTCTCACATAGATTAATTTTGCAAGTGAAATGAAATACAAGAATGGTAATGGATAGGAAGAAATAAGTCATTCAAAAGTCACTCTAATTTTTTAAAATTAAATTAAAAATTAAATTTTACTTTATCATATGTCTAAATTTACTTAATTTGTAATTGTTGCATGCCAATTAAGAGTGAGAGTAGGTACTAACATAACACTTAACTATTCATTATTTAAGAGACTAACAAAGTTAGTAATTTAATATAACAAAATGACCAACTTATATAACGAAATTAATATTTAGAAATCTAGATGCTACAAAAGATCTTTCAAGACCTATCAACTACCTCTATTATCATTTTTAGACCAAATTCAATGTTTAATCGTAGAATATAACTATATCATGTAACTGGATAAATCATTTAACTGTAACAACTTTTTTTTATTTATTACAAAATATGTGAAATTAGTCAATATAACCATCAAATTATTTGATATTATTTATTTTATTATTATGCACATAAATTAAATATTTGTTAGTATATTATCTTTATACACATATACTTATACTTTAAATAACATATCAACCTTGCCAAAATTAAAATAATACAACCAAGTATCAATTAGTTTTGTGTATAAAATTTTATAAATGTGATCTAGTTTATAGAAATAGAAGATAATATTTTATTTATCAACTTAACATCTTAATCTTAAAAGAGAAAATAAATTTTTAAAATAAATATAAACATTTTAATTTTATATGATATTTTAAAAACAAATATATTTTTTTACATCTGAACAATATTTTTAAGATTTGAAATTAAAAATTTGAATGGTTACAATTTAGAAAAACATGATAGTAAAAATATTATTTTAATATTAATAAAATCGAGATACTTTATGTTTTTATATTTTATTCAATAATTTTTTTTTAAATTGATAATATTTGTTAGATTAATTAATTATATTTTATCCGAGTTTGAATCTTACATTTATAAAAATAATTATCTAAAGAATATGTATATTAAATTTGACTAATATATATATATATATATATATATATATTAATTATAAATTATAATAAGTGTTAATTACCTATACATTATCAATATAAAATTTTTTTACACTGACAACCAATCATATATTTTAAAAGTGTTATGTCATTTGCTCATTTAATCAAATAAAAATAAAATAAAATAATTTAAAAATATAATTAGTTGTCGGTATAAATATGTATGCACGATTAACTCTTACAATAATCACTGTTAAGAACATCATATGTCTATTGACATAGAAACTGGGCTCAGGATATTATGTTTATTTCTATTGTGATATATTTATACCTTACAACTCTGGACCAAATAATTAACTCTTATTTTTGTCCTTCTTTCTTCAGTTCCCCAAAGGCATTGATTTGAGTGGCGTCACCAGCTGCTGAGGTAATACTAGTATAGTTTCCCCTCCTGATCATCTCCCGGAAATGCATCTGCACTCTTTGCTGAAACAAAAAATCTTGGCCCGTGTACAAGACAACCACATGGGTGCGCGCTGTTATTGGAAGCCACCTTTGATGTCTCTCAAAAGCCGTGGAGAAGATTGCCTTTCCACACTATGTTCTCATCATAGTGTGAGGTTTGGTTGCGTTTCTGGGTCCAAGTTGCTGAAGATCAGAAAAAAGAAAGAGTTTGCGGCCAAATGCTGGTGGGCGTGCGGGGAGGTGGAATCAGGTGAAGAGTTTGTGAAGGTTATGCGGCAAGTCCAACCTTACATGTCTGTGCATAACAACAGTGTTTTTCTTGTTCTTCTGTCTGCAGAAATTGTTGCTAGTCCTTGTTTGGATGTCATTCTCGAGGTACACTTCTCCCCCCTCAATTCAATGATGTGCATGCCAAAATTTAAGGGTTAAATTCATTATTAATTCTTAATTAATTATTAGAATTAGTCAATTAGTAGTCAGCAGAAAACTTTTTTTTTTTTCTTCCTATTTTCTTGTGTTTTATTCACTCACTCACCCGACCAAACAGGCCCTGACTTAATTAATAGAGATCAAAATCAATTTATATTTACTTTTTTAAATGTGAAAAGCCTAATGCATTGATTACATTAGTAAATTGATGCCTACCTCCGAATTGTTTGGTCCTGTAAATTTGATTCGACGTGTTGAGTTCAGAATCAAAATAATTGCAAAAGTTAAAGTTTGAACTTTGAATATTGGTATCCAAAATCCAACTTGCTCGTGAAGGAGCTTTTTGCAGCGTTACATTCCTTGTATTCCGGAGAGATATTTTTTAAGGGTGTTGGGAACAAGGATTTTGCGTCATTCTATATGCATTTCTGGTGGCTACAAGCCAATCTCTAGCCTCTAGGACATAATTTCCGATTAAAAGTGTCTCTTTCATAGTATATGGTGTGTTTATAAGTTTATTTAACCGGTTTATTAACTTGCTCAAAATAAATTTGTTTGGGATTTAAATTTATTTTAAACGTTTATATTTTATTTTCATGAGATAATTAAATAACTTATAATTTATAAATTCATTTACTTACATATCATTTTTTACTCTCATTATTGATAAATATGTTATTTTATATTAATTAATTAGTTTATCAATTAATTTTATTAAACATGTTCAATTTAATCAATTAATTCATAAAAAAAAATATTTTTCAACTCGTAACTTATAATTTAATAAAAAAATTTAACTAGTTTATAAAGTTTTAATAAGCTTATAAGCTAAAGTTTTACCAAACATGTCTTGAATGTTGTGTTTGAGAAATAGGAAAAGGGTAAAAATTAGATTTTTATATAATTATTAATTGTTTTTATATTACTTTAACTTTTAAATCGGGATAAGCTATCCCACCCTTTGAGGTGCCTCCAACCTAGCGAAGAGATTAGTCATTGCTATCGGCAGTAGATACTCCAGGGACGACCCAAAAAATCGAGATGAGTTTGTTTTTACAATATATTTTTTTTTATTAAGGAGGGATTCGTTTATTTCAGGAGTAAACATATTTAGTCTTATTCCGTTCAATAATTCACATTCTACATCAAATCTCAATGATGCAACCGTTGAATTTAAAGTTCTTAATGCATAAATCAAATCTGTAATTTTTTTTAAAAATTAAAATTATTTAATATTTTATTTCATTAATTCAATGGATGGATAATCATAAAATCACTTTATACGTTGATTTAAATTAATGAAACAAAGTATCAAATGATTTTTAAATATTTTAAATATTTACAGACATGATCTATACATTAAGAACTTTAAATTCAATGGTTGGATTATTGAAATTTGATGTAGAATATGAGTTATTAAATAGAGTCGGTTTGTGTAGACTTACACCTAGAGTAAATAGATTTCTCCTCTTTTTTATTATGTTATAAAATTTAAGTAAATGTTAAATTTAAAGTGGCACATGCACAAATATAGTTGCTAAGGCTAGAATATGATTTTAGTTTCAGTAAAATGAGCATGTTTTGATTTTGCTTCTTATAATTTTTTTTTGTTTTTTTTCTTCTAAAATTTGAAATTATTGTTTGTGTTCTTACTATTATGTGTTCATTAAATAGTTACATGATCATCTCAAGTAATATTCAAAGTTGTTCGTGATACTTCATATGCATGTGAATACAAATGTTTATAATGAGTTGTGAATACAAATGTTTTATTTATTTTGTTTATAAAAAATGATTGTAAAAAACCTATAAATAAATAAAATTTGTTTCTAAAATTAGAAAACTATTTTTGAAAAAAAATTAGACAAACATACGCTTAGTTTTTTTAAGAAAATATTTTAGTAAAATATTAGAGAAAATATATTTACCTTCCTTGGGCTTTGTTTGCGTTAAAAATAAAATATAAAGAAAGAAATATAAATGATAAAATAAAGGGGAAAAATAAAAAATAAAATATATGTTGTTTGGATTGACAAAATTAAGAAGGAAGAGAAATAATTTCTCTATTGATTTCATTCCAATTTTATAGTGAATCTCATTGAAATAACTTCATTTATTCCAATTTCTCTCTCAAATAAATGGTGAAAAATTAGTATTTCTGTTATAGTTTTCTATTCCCAATTTTTTTGGCTCTATATCCATCAAAACAAATAAGTAAAACTAAAGATGTCAATTTAATCCTAAGCTAGTTCCAATTTATTTTAATCACAGTAAATTAGCCTCGTTTTTTTTTTTTTTTTTTCAACTCGCCTTGCAAGGGCACTTAAAAAAAAAACAACCCACACAACTCACTAAGTAAGGGACTAAGGGGTATAATCATTGGATCCATCATTTTACTTTTTTTATTTAATTATTTTTACTTAATTAATCAATGTGTGGAGAGAAAATAGTTCATTTTCTTAGGTGCTTTAAGTATTATTCTCATATCATAAGTTTTACTTGAGTATATAAAGCTTTAATACAAGGAGGTAGTACACTGCAAGTGAATGTGTTGATGTTAACCAATGAATCATGAATCCCACAAAATCGAAAGAAAAAAAAATAAAGAAAGAGGCACACTAACAGTATTGGCGGCTTCTTTGAGCTGTGGTGAAGCAGAGCAGTCCCATGGCGGCTTTCTCATGGAGCTCTCGCGCATCCCTTCCGAGCCTTCCCAAATTCTCCTACCGCCGATTCCATTCCCATCCACACCAAATCAATGTAACCCCTAAATCAATGCCAAACAATCCCTTATCATCATTAACCTCAACCTGCAAACGCTGCAACGTGTTCAGCGAAGAGTTCATCGGAGGCGTGGCGGAGGACGAGGGTTACAGCTCCATGGACGATAAGCTCTTCGTCCGTTGGTTTCGTGAGACCTGGCCTTACCTGTGGGCCCACCGTGGCGCCACCTTCGTCGTCATCGTTTCCGGTGAAATTGTCGCTAGTCCATTCCTGGATCCCATTTTAAAGGCACCTCCGAAATTTTCAGCTTCTTCTAATTGCCTCTTTCAGACATGAATAAATATATATAAAAAAAAATTATTATTTGTTTTAGTACGAGGTATCTAGCCTGCACGAAAGGATTTGAGATAATGAATTAATAAAGTTCGATTATATGTGATGGAGAGATTAGTTAGTATCATCATAGTCTCAGATCATATAATAATTTCTCCGAGGAAACAATCTTACTCAGACTGGACATGACTATTGTGGGCGACAAAATTCTTTTTTCAATAATTTAATCATATATAAAATTATTATTTATTTTTTCAATAGAGAAAAATAAATATTTTCTATTTACTGGCATTGTTGGATTAATCCCATATTTAGATATGTAATGTGCGTGCAGGATATAGCCTTCCTTCATCACTTGGGAATCCGGTTTGTTATTGTTCCGGGGACCCATGTGCAAATTGACAACCTTTTGCGTGAGAGAGGTGAGTCGTACTTGCATCACAAGGAAATGAAATCATCATGGTTTGAATTTGTATGGGTGCTAGTGGCTAATTTACTCAATGTAGTGAAAGTGACAGATTTTTGTGATCTTGTGCTGTTACTTGCCAAACCTGCTAGAGAGAAATGAAATTTAAGCTAGTGTGCATGGGCATTGACTAGTGATGTTATTTTGTAGGGTGCCAGCCTAAGTATAATGGTACATATAGGATAACTGATGATGAGTCTCTAGCAGCTGCAATGGAAGCAGCTGGGAGAATAAGGTTGATGATTGAAGCAAAACTTTCTCCTGGGCCCTCCATTTGCAATGTCCGACGACATGGTGATAATAGCCGTTTGCATGAAGTTAGTGTTAGTGTTGCCAGTGGGAACTTTCTTGCAGCCAAGGTTTGAATTTTGTGATTCTGTTTTTTCATACAATATGGAGAACTTGGTTTCTTTCATTTCCCTTGTTCTCTTGTTGCAGTAATGATGACATTCTGATGGTTTCCCTCTGTTTTTTTTCTGTTTTCTGCTTCTGTTATTGTGTTAGAGCAAGTCTTTTGAAATTTTTTGTTTGGCAGAGAAGAGGAGTTGTCAAAGGAATTGATTATGGATCAACTGGGGAGGTTAAAAAAGTAGATGTTTCTCGCATGCGAGAGAGGCTTGATGGCGATTGTATTGTTATTTTAAGCAACTTGGGCTACTCCAGCTCTGGAGAAGTATTAAATTGCAAGTATGTTTTAGAATCCCTGATGATTACTTTTTACAACTTAATACTTCTTGTGTCCTTTCTAACATATATTCTGTTGTTATAACATGTTTGTACTTTTTGATTTTTTAATCTGCTAGTTTAATGCTCTATTATTGTCTATCATAGAAAGCCTCAATATTTTATGCCTTTCATATCTTTTATTTGGGAGGGGGGGGGGTGGTCAGGTATGGCCCAACGATAAGGTCATTGCATTGTAACTAGGTCACATGTTGTAGTCATGGTTCAGCCTCTCCTCCCAAGGGAGTATGGCTGTCTACATTTGACCGTCCTCAAACCCTGTAATGGTAGAAGCCTACTATCTATCTTCAATATCAATTATGTTTTTATATATATATATATATATATATCGATATCTTGGGGAAAAGTAATATTTTTTTCAAGGCTAGCTTTTAAGGATTGGAGTCAGGCATAGATCGAAAGAAGCAGCTCCATGGAGAATTTGTGTTTATATAATAAAAGCATAGAAAGTTGGTTCCCAGCGAAACAATAAAAAGAGAGTTTTTATAAGGTTTTACGCCATAATTTTAGCTCATAAAATAGTTTATTCTAGAACTTGATATCTTGTGGAATACAAAATACTGATATAAGTTTTTAAATAACCATTTACTTATGTGAATCAGATATACACCTGTGTCAATGTGTTTAATTTATTTTTCTCTTGCATGTTGGTATATAGTAATTGAATGTGATCCAACAGAGGAAAAATAGCTTATCAATGGATATTGATGAATTTTGTTTTCTACAGTACTTATGAAGTTGCAACAGCTTGTGCCTTGGCTATAGGAGCAGACAAGCTTATATGTGTTATAGATGGTCCGATACTTGATGAGAGTGGCCACCTTATTCGTTTCTTGACCCTTCAAGAGGCAGACATGCTAATTCGTAAACGGGTTGAGCAAAGTGAAACAGCTGCTAACTATGTGAAAGCTGTTGATGAAGAAAGTTTCAACTCTCTTAACAATTTTAATGGGGCAGTCCATTCAACACAGAATGGAAAACCATTTTCAGAATCTCATCAGGCTACCTTTCATAATGGTGTTGGTTTTGACAATGGTAATGGCCTGTGGTCTGGGGAGCAAGGTTTTGCTATTGGAGGTCAGGAGTGGCTAAGTCGAATGAATGGTTACCTGTCAGAACTGGCTGCTGCAGCCTTCGTTTGTAGAGTGAGTTGATGATTCAACTTTTCCTTAATGTCATTGGTTATTTAGGTGTATATTGCCTTAGCACCTCAAGTCACTAAAAGTCTGAGTTTTATTTTTGTTATCTTTTGTTATGTTCAATCATGACAGACAAGTCCATATGGACCATATCATTATATTAAATTAAAAAAAAAATAATAGTCCTTAAAGATTTGTCAAGTGATTGATTTCTATAAATATAATGGCATCAATGTAAGATTTTTTTGAGAAATTATCTGCTTTTGCTAATCATTTGTCCTATATCACTGCATGCTTAAACTGAAATTCCTTGAGAAATTGCTTTTTGAAATAAGATGACATTGCTTGAAATTCCAGTTATATGTTGCTAATAATATAACTCTATCGTTTGACAGGGTGGTGTTCAAAGAGTTCATTTGTTGGATGGAACTATTAGTGGAGTTCTATTGTTGGAATTGTTTAAGAGAGATGGGATGGGAACAATGGTAGCTAGGTATGCAAACTTTGTGCTCTATATCTGGAATTTTTTTTTCTTATTACTATGAAATATTGTGTACTCATTGGTAACTAATTGGGGAGAGTAAGAGCAATATGTGGCGTAAGTTGTATCCTTCATCTGTTCATCCAATTGTTCTGTTTTTTTATTTTATTTCAGTTCATAATGTTAATAAACCATAATTTTAGTTGTTATACCTGTGGATTTCCTTTTGGAGTCATCATATTGGTTATACCAGTGAGATTCACCCGTTTGTAATTTTAGGTGCTAGAGAAAAGAAATACTGAACAATACTTATTTTATTGAACTGAAATGGAATTCCCAGGCTTGTATTAAAATGATACGACAACCTGGATAGTGGATATCAGAATTACAATGGGAAATTCTAGAGGTCTAGTCCCTCCCAAAGTTCCAACTAATCTCCTGCCTATCACTTCTCTACCTACTCATTCCCTTAATATTTCTCCCAGAGATACTCCTATTTCTCTCTCCAAATTTTTATCCTTGCACGCCCTTCATTTTCCTTCTTTCATAGATTCTAGTTATTTGGGGGTTCTATTACTATGATAAGCTGATGGTTGCATGGAAGTTTGATAATTTTGAAGGTTGTAAATATATGATTTGGATCTCAATACCATTTGTGAGCATTCCTTTTTTATTTTTATTTTATGCTTTTTAATGAAACCATTGATTATATAAAGATAGATGATTATATAACGATAGAGGATTTAGTTAAAATAACTAGCCGAGTGTTAAAGAGCACAAGCTTATTGAATTCTAACATGCCACAATTGTCATATCCATGAAGAAATTTTTTGCGTGCTTTTATTTTCAAAACCCAAAAATTAGAACCAAAATGATGTTCATAGGGTTTGCAATGCTTCTGCCTACTAACAATAAACTATGTGTGGCAAATTGTTGTTGGTGTTATACATTATTGATGTCTTTTTCTATTTTTTATCTAGTTTTGATTTTCCATTTCTGAAAACCTTTAATCTTTATATGCTTGCCTTCAATTAATTTTGCAGTGACCTTTATGAAGGCACCCGGATGGCTCAAGTAACAGATATTTCTGGAATAAAACAACTTATCCAGCCATTGGAGGAGTCTGGCATATTAGTTAAGCGGACTAATGAAGAGGTTTGCTTAACTTTGCTTGATATCTTCATAGCTATTGTAGAGGCCATATTGTTTCCTTAACTGGTGATTTTCTCAAGTAGTCTCATACATTTGACCGTTCTTTGTTTATAGCTTCTCCAATCGTTAAGCTCCTTCGTTGTTGTGGAAAGAGAAGGTCAAATAATTGCTTGCGCTGCACTTTTTCCTTTCTTTGAGGAGAAGTGTGGAGAGGTTGCTGCAATTGCAGTATCTCCCGATTGTAGAGGTCAAGGACAGGGGGACAAATTACTTGGTATGGTAATGCTATATTTTTGCTTTTGTGAGTTGACAATTCTTCTGCTTAATTGATGGTGAATCAGTGATTAATAATTTGTGGAATATTTTGAAACTGATTTTTCATAGTTTATTCTAAATTCATATTGAGCCCTATAGATCAGATGAACCTGTACTGAACTGTCAAGACCATGAGACTGCACATGGTTTAACAGGTTCATCCAGTCCAAGGTTAATATTATTGTGCTGAAACCAAAAGAAAGGAAATGAAGATTCAAACTTCAGACCTGTCATTAGTTAGGGTCCCTGAAACCATCTTTCTGATAACGGGCTACTGACCACATGAATTGGTATTGAACTGTCCAAGCTGTTCACGGGTAAACAGTTTCAACCTGTCCAAGTCTAATATTGTGTTAAGCTATTAGAGAGGAATGAGGATTTAAACTTCAAATCCTCTCCAACACTATCTCAAGTTTGGCATTTTCTTTTGATGCACATTTATGTATAGTTTTTGAGTTAAAACTGTTAGGTCCAGAGTAGGCTTAATAGTTACTCACAGCATACTAATATTTTATTATCAATTTTGAGATACAATCTAAAATATATAGAAAAAAATGAAAATTCAACAATATAAAAATTTGTGGAAAAAAAAATGTAAAAGCAAACAATCAATCACATTTTGGTGAGATAATTTAACATTTTTTTTATGTGCTTTCAACTAATTTTTTTTATTTATTATAATGGTCATCGCGAATTTTCAATATTGATATTTAATATGTAGGTTTTGAGATGAAATTGTAGTTTCAATTACAGAATAATATTAAAATTACTGACAACAGCTTCTCGCTAATAATATTAAATTAATTGTATATTATCATGTGATACACAAAAACACAAGGCGTTGAATTTGTGGCTAGAGTGAGAATGAGACATGACACATGAGACATGAGACATGAGACATGGTTTACAAGGTACCGAACCCATTAGCAAAACCGAGTTTTCCAATTATAAAAGAGTGCAGAGTGCAGAGACGGCAAAGCTACGTTGAACTAAACTCCCTCAGGTCCAGGTGAGTTTGGCATGCAGATCCAACCCAAAACTCTATTTATATCCATTCAAATTCAAGTTCAAGTGTTCAACCACGCCTTTCCCTGTTCACAACTTTGGCCACATTCCACTCCGCACTGTCACAACACTTGATTCTTGGCGTGCGTCAGTCAACTAACCTGGAACACCGTCAGGTACACAGTTACCGTGTTGTACGTGTCTTTCAAACGTCACCCAATTCAACGTTACACACGTATTATTTATTATAACTACTGTTATTATTGCTACTAAAATCACCACCCACCATCATACTACTAGCATTGCAACAAGGTAGCTGAGGTTGTTATTAAGATTATGGGGAATTGCCAAGCTGCGGAAGCGGCTACGGTTGTGATTCAGCACCCCGGGAACAAGATCGAGAGGGTTTATTGGTCGCTCAGCGCGCACCAGGTTATGAACTCAAATCCTGGTCACTACGTTGCTCTTGTCGTGTCCTCGCCCACGCTTAAGTCGTCCGACAATGCCACGCCTATGAAACAACTTAAGCTTCTCCGACCCGATGATACTTTGCTTATTGGTCAGGTTTATCGCTTGATCAGTTTTGAAGGTATAATAATAATAATAATAATAATAATATATATACCTCCTATCATTTGCAACTATATTGTCTTTGTTTTGTTTTGTAAAAACTAAAATAAGAATTTGATTGTGTTTGTTTTGGTGGGCCATAGATGTGTTGAAGGAGTTTGCTTCCAAGAAATGTGGTAAACTCGGGAAATTGCTCAAGGAGACAGGTGGACATGGGGTTCAGATGAAACACAAAGACTCTAGAGCACCAAATCCTAGCCCATGTTCCAAATCTGAAATCGGTTCTATTAAGGTAAACAAGTTTCATGTTAATCAATTCTAGCTACCTCTCTGTTTCAATTCTTTTTTTTTTTTTTGGTTGGCCTCCTCGCGTGCAACTAATTAAATTGGTTTGATAAATTATTAAACTAATGTCTGGTTTGGGGGTGGGATATGATGATTATGATTATGAATATACCATGCTGGCATGTTGCGTTTTGATTGTGGTATCATGGTGGAAGAATAGTACTACTTTTTTTCTTTTTTATTTCCTTGGCTTTAAGGCATGGTCTAATTGGATTGTTGAGGTGTAGCATTTTTGTTTTTCTTCTTTTTTCTGAATCAGGCATGAAATGAATAAAGGCATCTTTATCTTGATTCTGTTTGCATAATCTTATCTTCTGTACGTCCGCAGAATTTTATCATTATTTAATTAAGTACGAATTAGTTGGGACAGAGACACTGGAGTGGTGAGTGCATGTAATGATTGCTTATTTGTTTTAATTACAAGTTTCTGCTACGATATTTGGTACCTACAGTCATCTACAATCAATCCAACGCTCCCACAGAATTTATATTAATAAGGAAGTTCTAAGTAAACTCAACTACTAATTTGTTGTTGCGTGCTATTCCAGTGACCAATTTTATTCTACTACTAGTATTACCTAATTTGGTCGTGTAGGAGGGTCCTGTAAAAAAAATATTTTTAACTTATGCACACATAATTTTTAACTTAGAAACTTGTTCTATTTTTATTTTAATTATCTTCATTTTTGTGTCCTAAAAATGCTTATAATTAAAAACACTTACTTCTTCTTCTAAATTTAGTGTGCAATTGATATTCAATTTTAACCACTTTTAATTATTGCCTTTGACCAACTTTAAATTCCTTCGTGCACCGAACCTACTTATATGTAACCTTGTTTTCTCTAATTTGTTTTACATCTTTCTACTTGCATATTTATGATAGTGCCAAGTATATTACTAAAAACAATGTATATATACATTACATTAAAGTTGTTTCATAACAAATTATCCTTTTAGTATTACTATGATAGACCTCAAAATACACTTTTTATTCTTTTCTTTCTTTCAATTATGCTATTATATATCTAAAACCTAATAATTTATGAAGAAAAAATAAAGAAGATGAAATTACCCTTTTGTTTGGGTAAGTTAATGGGAAGAAAGTGTGATGAAAATGCAAAATTTTCATTTTATGTAGTAGAGAAAAATAGACAGTTTTTTTTTGGGTGATATTAAAAAAAAGGATAAAAAAAAAAGAGAAACTATTGGTTCATAATTAAAATAATAAATACTTTTTATGTTAAGACAGAACTAGTAAATTTTTAAGGTTAAATTAAACTTTTTAAATTGGTATTAGAATAAATAATAATAATTGATTTTACACCATTCTTTTATTTATTTAAACAATAGATTTTTTTTTCCCTTACCACTACTTTATTTCACTTCTAAAGTCCAAATAAGTGAAATAGATATTTCTTTGAAAGAAGAATTTAGAAACCATATAATAAAGAATATTTCATCACTAAGTACTCATTATAACAAAATTTATTATTATCGATAATTATTTAGCAATAATAAATTAATTATTTTTATTTTATTATTTAATACAAATATTAATGACTAATATATAATAGTTACTAAAAATGTATTTACATCACATCAAACTTTACTAATAGCGACAATTAATTATTGAAAAAAATTTAAGTCTCACATCGACTAGAAATAAAATAATTAAAGAGTATAAAAATGGATGATAATTCTTACCTTACAAATTTGTTTTGTATTGTTGAATTAAACCTATAACTTACTATTCTAATTTGTATTAGATTACTCACCATTACCAAACTCAATAGGAAATAAGATAATTAAAAAAATAAAGAAATTAAAGAATATATAACTAGAAGACAACCTTCCTCTTACAAATCTCACATTGTACTCATCTTACAAAGTCTCACATCAACTAGAAAATTAAAAAAAAAATACAATAAAAAATTATACATTTTTTTTATCATTATAAAGATTTTTACCAGCATTCAAAATAATTATTGCTAAATATTTTAACGACACCCCCATACAATGACTAATATAAAAATGTCGGTAAAAGATTTTGTACCAATTTTTATTATCACTAAAAATTATATTAAATGTCACTAAAAATTTATTTTATTGTAGTGAGTTATCGCTATTTTATCTTATTAGTATTTTCGGTATGTAATTTATTTCTTGTTCGATTGTTATCATCTTTTATCTATCTATTATTTTATGAATAAAAAATAAATACATAACAAAGGTTATCAGAACGAAACATCCCACAGTTGATACAATGATAACCATTTCCCAGAACTCATCCTGCTCCCTGGCCCGTGGATTATTACCAAATTCCGGAACCGTCCCGTTTAGGGAATATTACATTGCGTATCAATCTATCACACTCAACCCACCCATTATCAATATTACAAGCGACTCTACTTTTGTCTTTGGCCTACTCAAATTAAAGAGTTGGATCACCTTCTTAAAAAGAATTAAAACGAGTTCAATTATAAAAGTATAACAATATAAACATAGTAAAATTCAACTCCTAATTTACTTGTCCCCAAGTTGCAGTTTTAGTTAAGAGAATTTTTATGCAATCCTAAACACTAAAGTAATGTATAAATTCAATTGAAACATCCCATGCGATAACATGGAAAAATTCAAGTGCTTTTCTTTATTGTTTATACCAATAATATTTTCCGACTAATAATTAAAAACTAATTTTTATTTAAGGAATAGATATTATTGAAGTTAATTAACAAAAAAAAAAAAATTCTCCATAAGTAGAACTAGAAAATTAAAATTTATTTGTAATATGACTATTTATGTGTTGTGATGATATAAAAATTTAACCTAAAATATGAAATGTTATCAAGTTCGATTTTTATTCATATTAAAATGATATTTAATTAATAAAAGTTATGTCTCACAAATATATATACTAATATTTTATTATCAATTTTGAGATACAATCTAAAATATATAGAAAAAAATGAAAATTCAACAATATAAAAATTTGTGGAAAAAAAAATGTAAAAGCAAACAATCAATCACATTTTGGTGAGATAATTTAACATTTTTTTTATGTGAACTATAAAACAAATTGGCTTGGATTCATGCTTACCGTGGATTCAAATTAGTAGTTACGTATTATGAATTTATCTCAAGTTATTAATACTTTCATTTTATAACAAATTATATAGTACATGGTTAATTTATGTAATATAATACAGTTTCTTTATTTTATTTATACACTTATGTGTGATATATTTTTCTAACATATTGCTATATACATGTCATATAATATATGTACGCAAATGAAACCCTGGTGTAGCCTTAAATTTCTCACTTTTCCAATCCAATTTTGAAAACATTGTTTAGGGTTAAGTAGGTAAGTTTTGGGAAGTTCATTTGTAAGAATAGAAAATGTCAACTTATAATCATATTACATTCATTTTCTTGATAATGCCTTACAAGGGTATTTAATTTGAAGGCTTAAAACCAATGACGTCTCTTTCTTTCTTTCCTTCTTTTTTTTTTGCTTGTTGGCTTTGAAAAGTAGGAATCCTACTAGGCATTTTTTTTAAGTATTATACTATTCCTACTGTTCTTGACTAGTTCTTTGAGCAGTTCTGATTGTGCTAGAAACTGTTTGCAAATATTGCAAATCAAAGCATGAATAATTTTAATGGTGAATTGTTTCTAATTTCATCCAGAAACTAGTTTTATAGTGTAGTGTGAGGTCATGCATGGTGAAAACACATTTTTGAGGAGCTGTTTGATTATAATCTTTGGTACTGTTGCTCTACGGTGGTGCTTTTCGCATGTTGGCTGATATCTATTTAATTTTATGATCAAATGTAACAGATTACATAGAGAAGAAGGCTTCATCTCTTGGATTTGAAATGCTTTTCTTGCTCACAACTCGTACGGCAGATTGGTAAGTACCTTCCTCTTTGCAAATCAAACATATGTCAATATATTTATCCAGAATCAATGGCATTTTGTGCTTTCAGTGGATTGTTACTTACTGCATACTCTATATATTCTTGGATGTTTCATATGGTTTGTTAACTCTATGAATGCTTTTCTAAAGACATGGATTCCCAATTTATTGACAGGTTTGTGAGGCGTGGATTTTCCAAATGTTCAATTGATTCTATTCCTGAGAAGAAAAGGAAAACAATTAATCTATCCCGCAAGTCTAAGTATTACATGAAGAAGCTTCTACCTAATAAGAGTGGAATTACAGTTGGTAGCAAATTTACTTCATAGTAGCGCCTCTTTTTTTGTCTCACCCTCAAATCAATTAATGAATATTGGTTTGCTAGTTGTTACGTATAGATGGACTGATAGTTTGTTCTTTTGTATCTTTAAATCAATATAAAGAAATTAACACAGGAGAACAGAGCGTATTACATAAAGCATGATTCACAAAGTTACTTACTTAAGCAAGCTTTTACTACAATAGGGCTCTTGGAGCTTTGTAAATTACAGAGACTTAAAGCTTCAATCGCACTTAAATAGGAAGTGTTCCAGCCAAGGGGTGCACTAGGGTTTTTTCCTAGGTCAAGCCTCAAAGTTAGAGCATTCAAAAGTGTAATCTGCCTTCTTAGCTTTAGGGTTTTAGGTTTTATACTTTCTTGTTCATGGGTCTCATGGGCCCCGTGAATGTGGGGATCTCCTTAACCATTATTATTTGGATAACACCTGGTTGACGCGGGGATCTTTGATCAGGTTCCGACCGACCAAACCTATACCGAGGGACTAGTCGGATATTGGTCGAGCGGGGTCTTAAAGGCGGAGGGGGGAATCGAAACAGGGCCGATCTAGTTCAGGATAGAGTAAGGTCGGATACCGATCAGCCTGTGAAGGTAGGCAAATCGAGAATCGGGCGAGACGGTACAGGAACCCTGGCACAGCTTTCTGTCTAATATTTCATGTACCGAAAGGGTTTTAATGAGCATACTTGTTATATTAATATCAGGATTAGTATTATAGCAGTCTGGTAGTATCATAAAAAAAATGGTTGTATACTATAAAATATATTATTGACAGTCAGCACAGCACAATCATCATCATCACCAACATTTTGAAACAAAGGAGATTGTACTACGATTTAAATGGAATTCATGTACTATTCCATTATTTTTAAATTTTATTTCATATGCTTTATATTTTCATGTATGATAAGGACTCAGGCCAACCGGGCCTAGTGATCCACCATTCATGCAAGTTCAGAACCTAACGTGCAGAATGGGATCTTCTATTTCTAATTTACGTATCAATATTAATAAAATTGATAAATGATAACTAGAGTGTTCAAGAAGTAACAAAGAAAATGTTTATTTCTCAAATTCTCTTCTCATATTCAATAACAAAAAATATATATGCTCAATTTTTAATAGGAATAAAAATAAATTAATACTTTATAAAAAATTATAAAATACTTTATAAAGAAGACCACTGTATCCTTATAATAAAAAGGGGAGTATAAACTAAAAAGTTCATTCACAAAGCTGAACTCCCGAAAGATATAAGAGCAACCTTCGCCAGACCACTACTTTTTTTCACAATGTTTAGATGGGGGTTTCAAAAGATTACAGAAAGTAAGTTAAATAAAAAAATATCGCATTTTTAAAACTTTAAATTATGTGATATTCTTTAAATAAAACAACATAAAATTTTACAATGTTCTCCCATTCGGGACCATTTGGTTGTGCAGCGGAAATTAATTTTGCAAGCATCCCAATGTAGAATATTCCCTCGATTACATTTTATTTGTTATACGGTTAACATTATAACACAACCTTAAAAAAGTATAATTAATATAAAATAATTTGTTGGACATAAGATTTAAGAAATACAATTAATATATCATTTTATAAAATAAATCATATAACTTTTCAATATAATTTTAAATTTTTGAATTCTCACAAATAATTAAATACATTGACAATAATTAAAAATACAATAATTAATATTATATTAATATTATAAAACCACAATCAAATTGAAACAAATAAAAACAAAATTCGTTAAAACATCCATCAAAATGAAACGGATGAAGTATACAATCAAAATTAATTTCAACTCGACGTTTAAAACCTCTGATCCTTTATCTTGGGAACGTTTTCTCAAGATGAAAATTTTAACATGGTTTTCCTTTCCTGCAAAACCCACCATCCCAGGATTACTAGAGAATGTGAAACCAGACCTTGGGACAGAACTAAGATTAATTTCAGGACAGACTCATTTCTCGGGAGAAATCTTGATGCACATCGAAAGTAACATGTCCATTCAATCAAAACGTGATAAATATCAATCGTTAGATTAGTTTGATAATACTTTATAATAAAATTCAGGTCATTTTGTTTACTACTCAAGTATATAAAAAACTGTTGGCCAGAGTCAGCATCTGTTGTTGGATCAGTTTGTCCTGCAATCAGTTGTTCATTACAGTGTCCAGTTAACTTAAGATGGTAGGTCGTATCAATCATAAATAGATGCAGTATGTACATCATAGAGGAAAACTAAGGAATGGCAGTTCAGTCCCTTTTATTTTCAATCAGGATTTCACATTAAAACTCTTTGTCCAAGAAAAGATGCAGAGAAAACTGCTGCACGTTGAAACTCCTGAAGACGGAATACATTAATATGAATACAAACAATAAATCACGCTTCATCAGATTTGGGTAGACCCTTCCATTTAAAGTTGTCCGCATATGATTTAACCTGCAACGACAAGTAAGCATTTACATGTATAGTGCTATTATTATTGAGGGAACAATGCTGTCACAAGCAAGGTTGTGAAAGACAATATCGCATGAAAGATGTTCAAACCTTCAGCAATGGTGTGTGGGGCTTCTTGACCTGCAACGAGTTCAGAGCTTTTGTTAGTGGTACTAAAATAAAACCCTAAAGACCTAAACATGAGGAAAACCAATGTACAATCAAGTGGATATTTCTATTTAGTGGCCCTGATTCTTGAAACAGAATTAATGACAAACAAGCATTCTCTAATATTAAACGTCTCACGATCAATTGAAAAACAAGATATGCTGATTCTCCACTGGTAGATTGTTAATGTTCAGTGCCATATCGAAACTAACATGATTTTAACTAATATCATGGCTGAACCAAAAATAAGAAAATATGAATCAATTCACCCAATATGTTAGAGACCACAAGTAATTAGCAAGGGAAGGGGGTAGTTAAGGAAGTTATGAATTGGATGAGAGAGCTAGAGGAGAATCCAGGTTTCTCAAATACTTGGAATAGGAGGTTAGGCATTTGTTATTCTGCACTATCTTTGTTTTTTCTTTTCGTCATCTTTGATCTTGTGTTCCATTGATACAGAGCTAGAGGTTTCTGTCAAAAACATTCTGTTTTCTTTCCATATTCTAATCCATTTCTATTAACTAGTACCAGAGCTCCTCATCTGAGAGTTTACATAGAGCGTACTAGGATGGAAGCCTGAATGAAATGCCTGGAAGTGGACCAGGCCCAAGCAAAAAGGGACTGGGAGTTTCTAGAAACTCGGTTAAAGAAGCTTGAAGAGATGTCAGAAATATAATCTCAAAATTTGATTGAAGATACCAATTTATCTGAAGGCAGTAGTGTGATTGATGGGTGGGTTTAATGGAGGAGGACCACCACTGATCTGAAGGAGTTTTATGCAAAAATTTACCAAGAGATGGCTTTGGTTAAGTAATAAACTGACAGTTGGTTCAAGATTGAAAGTGGTAGTGGACGAGGAAGCTTGAAAGCCCCATATTTTCAGGCGATGCTTATGGTGGGCCAACAGTTGACCATCATTAAGAGCTCCAAGGGGTACCTGATGGGTAAAAATTACAAGCAGTGATGGTGGACAATGGAGGGTCAAGCACTTTCTAGGTTCCACGGTAATGGAAATTATATTCAGAGCATAGCCCTTAATGGAGTTGGGCAGAGTTTCAAACAGTGGTGATTAGGACATTTCAACCCTCAATGATGCAGAAGCCATATGAGTTGTTGTGTTCAAAAACAAAAGTCCACCATAAAAGATTATGGAGTGTAATTTGAGTTCTGTACATCCTTTGCATGAACAGGTTTAAGGAAGAAGGTAAGGCCAAAACAAAGTTGCACATACTAGAACTATTACTAGAGATGATGGATTATGCTCAGGGAATCAATCACTGAGAATTGAATAGTAAACAAAAGAGAATTTCCAGACAAAGAAGGGCCACATTCAGAAGTTACCTACCATCCAAAATAGCAATGTATGAAGTTGGTTCTAGGTTATCTGCACAAACTAACTCACAAAGAGGAGGCTCAGTTGTAAATTTTGCAGCCAGCAGACCAAATGGTACTTTAAGAAGCCAAGGAGGGGGTTCAAGTGACTTTCTGAATTCTGATATAAAATTACAAGCGAATATCAAGAAGGGGGGCTACGTTTCAAGTATGATCACAAATATAGCCAAAATCATGTGTGCCAAACAAGCAATTTGCAGTAATTTTACTAGAGGAAGATTTAGAATGAGAGGGAGATGGTGTAGCCAGGGTAGGCTGCTGAACTTCACCTAGAGGACATCATTTTAGGAAATGGGACAAGGTGAAAGTGAAACAAATATTTTTCTGGAGGGGGGCTAGGGGATGGGAGTATTGTCAGAGACCATGACCATGTTCAATTAGAAAGGGAAGATGGAGACAAGGTCACGCTCATATCATGAGTATGTTTAGCAGACACTGGAGTCACATGAGTAATTAGGAATAACAGAGGGAGATGTGAAGTTAATTAAGGGAGTTATTCATTGATCAGGAGGAAGGTAGAGGGCAGTAAAAGTCTCTCAAAACAGGACAGTTAGGGTCCTGTTGTTCTGCACTAGCTTTTTATCTTCATTTCCTCATCTCTAATATTGTATTCCAATGATTCAACCCAGAGGCAGAGATAGATGTTTCTATCAGTAAACACTTTATTTGCTTTCTATAATCTGAATTTCTGAGTCAGCTCTGTTATCATAATAATTTATTTCAATAAAAACAAATACGAACTGTATCAAGAGACACCTAGCAGACTGAGAAAACAAAAAATATTAGCTGTGAACCAATATTTGAAGAGCAAGATATACCGTATATTCCCAACCATGTTTCTCTGCAAATGCTTTTGCTGCTTCTGCACTATCAAAAGTCATGGCAGAATCACCAACATGAGCATACGGGTCCCCAGTGGATGTCCAGCCCATCAGTGGATTTTCCCACCTATAAACACATAAGTTGAAAATTACTATTTGTTGAGCTTGAGCCATTATAACTGATTACAAAATAATTGTTCAAATTTAGGATATTATACTAAAATTGCTAGTGACTCCTTAAACTATTCAGGGATGCCTAGAATCAAATGCTTAATAAATTTGAAATTAAAACCTATGAAAATTGCCTTTAGTACAGGAAATGCCAATGATGGCATAAGCTTCAACGTTATGAAGTTTAAATCAGAAATTTATCAGTATATTCAGACAGCTGATCCAATGCATACAAAACCCCAAGCATTCCACCCACCCAGTTATCAAACCTGTTACTGAAGAAGAAGAAAAAAACCTAATTGTATAACTCGGACAATGATTTTTAAAATAGCAGTGAAAGAACTGTGAGGAGAGAGAGAGAGAGAGAGAGATAGAGAGAGAGAGACTACTTTTGGGTTGATAAGAAGTTGATCTTCCATCTTCCAACCTTCCCAGATCCTTGCTGAGATGCAGTTCTAGCAGGAGAGTAAATGACAACCTGTGTTGCAATGAAAGTACAAGACAAAAGGGCTAATTGAGTTACAATGGTTAGCAAGCGAAGGCAGGGGATCTAGTGATGCATCAATTATCAGTAAACTTTAAAGTCGGTATACAGAATATGGGAGAGCCTATTAGGTGAAAGTGGGAAAGGTGAAAGAAGCTAATCACGAACACTGAATCACCATAAGATCCAATGGTCAAGATTAGCTTCCTTCACCTCTCACACTCTCAGTAAACACGCCCAATTGGACACTGATATCCTCTAATAGACAACAAAATAGCTGCAATTAGATTTACCGAAGCCAAAATCACTATGCTAAGATCGATTAATATCATAAACACGAACATAGACGATATGCCTATATGATATGCACTTCTACGCATGGTTAAACTACGATAAATTTTTTGGTGAATTTGTTTATAAATGAACGAATGCTAGGGTTTTCTAAACCGGTGCGTGTGCATTGAATACGAGCATCTGAAAGAAAGCGAAGCAACAAATTAAAAATAATAAATAAAAAAAGAGAATTAAAAAAGAGTAGAATACCCTCCTACGAAGGTGTTCTTGAGGAATTCCAGAAACTATTCCGATCTCGCCTGGTTTGATTTCTACCAAAGCGTCGGTGGAGAACCGCCGGGCCATGGTGGCGCGTAGGGCGCGTTGCAAGGTATTGGCCATCGCCGATGAGAATTTGGATTCTGCGCACAGAAGACCAAATGAAAATGAAATCGCGAAACCTCTTGTATGTACTGTTGAAAATTTTATTGGCTAGCCCTCCTTAACTTTTTATATTATAAAAATACTTTAAATATATTTTTCATTTTTTAAATTTAAAATAAATTTATTTTTGTCTCTCAAATTTAAAATTTAATTTTATAATTTTTAAAAATTTTATTTTAATTTCTCAATTCATTAATAATATATCTAAAAATGATAAATTAAAATAATTATATAATATTAACTAAATTTAATATGATATTTTCGATAGTTAGTAAATTTTATACATGGTATTTGAATAAGATCTTATAGATTCTTAATAGTATTTTATACCAGTAAAAGTAAGTAAATTTTTGATAAAATTTAAGTATAAAAATTAAAATAATATTTTTTAAAAAAATGATAAAGATTAAAAATAATAATTTTAAATTTAAGATATCAAAAATAAATTTATTTTAAATTTAAGAAATTAAAAATATGTTTAAGCCTATGAAAATTATCCTTTATAAGTATTTTAGTCTAGGATGCTTATTTTTATATAATTACAATATATAATAAATATTTAATATATAAATTATATTATAAATAAATTTATGATAATTTATTTATGAATACATAAATTATATTTGGAATTTAGAATGCAAAATTTAATAGAAAAAATATTTTTAGTTTGACTTAAATAACTTTTTTTTGTCCCTATAAAGTATAAAGTTTTTTTTTTTGTTTTTGTCTTTTTATAAACAAGTTTTTTATTCTAATATACACTAAAATGCCCAAGTCACTATGTATTATAATAGAGTAATAGAATGATAAAATAATAAAAACAAAGATATCTAAGAATGATAATCAGTTTTGATGTGCAATTTTGATGAATAAGTATTATGAACTTCAAGAAGATAAGGATTTCCATTTTGATATCGTTGAACGAAGACATCCTCAAATGTATATATGCTCTTGATAAGCATGTTTGCAACATCAAAAAGATTGCACTATACTATTTAAGCCCCCATTTTTATAGAGGATAAGTTGAAGTCATAAGCTCTAGAATATGCAACATGTGCATAATATAGTTGTTGTGATATGAATATAGTCATTATTTCTAACTTTTATGATTCCCCTTGTCATCACTCTAATAAGATGCAATATATGCACTCATCAGGTAATAAAATGGACAAAAGTCAAAGTATCGAATCTACAAAGACTTGCTCAATGAGTAATTAATTCAAGTATGATATTATTTAGGAAAATAAGCAATTTAGGTTTGAATGTGTAATTATAAAAGTATGATATTGAGTTTTAGAATAGCAAGCAACTTAGAAATATGTAGTAAATCAATTTCAAAGAACATCAGGGTTTAATTTCATCGACCTTAATTGCATGCGCCACCAAGTATTTAGTTTCAATATTATATTCTTGTTAATCCAACAACCTAAGAATGTATTTTAATCCTAATGTCTTAGGTGAGAAATTCTAAACTCCTAAATTAAAATCTTAATTCCTTGGTAAAGTTATTTAAACGATTTACATTAGGATCAAAGGTTTCAACACTAGCTAATAATTCTTACAATATTCCTAGTAATAAGTGTTATTATTGTTCCTTTCCAGGTCGTGGTTTCAAAAGTGTTTCCCAACATCAGTTAATTACATGGGATCGTGCATTGGGGGATGAAGCCAAGATGAACATTAATAAAAGAACAATTGATTGAATAAACACTTCAATAAATGGAAGTTTACATAGAATTAAGTCAACTCTGTCAACTCTGTCAATCCCCAACACATGTGAATTAGTTTTCCATGACTAATCTAACAAAAAGAGAAGATAGGAGAAGGTCATTAAAGGTTTTATCATAATGGCTTTCATGTATTCTATATTTTTCAAGGTAGGCCTAATTTTCTATCTCCACAAGTTTTGAGACACATTTATTTTCAAGCCTTTTATATGTCTTCAAATGTAGGCCTATCAAGTCTTACTTTCTTAAGTGACCAAAATGGCTTACTAATTAACCAAGCCTTCAAAATTGCTTCCAATAACTCTTGGGTTGTTAACACTTAAGAAAGAG